TAAAAGTTACTTATTGAAATTTTAGGTGAAAATATCATGACAAGATTTTTACTTAAAAATGTTTGATAAAAATTGGTTTTAAAACTTGATATCAACCCCCTCATGCAGTCAAAACACTTTTAAACACTTAGAATTGAATATAGTGTGTTAAAAGTGGGAAAAATACTGAAAAAACAACAAAACCTTTAAATAACCATAAATTTATACATAAATACCTATATACCTATTTTGAAATCGGAGGGAATTACAGGTATTTATGAGGTTGATGCCCCCCCCCCCCCCCTATACTTATAGCTACTAATTATAGGTATTTATGAGGTTGATGCCCCCCCCCCCCTATACTTATAGCTACTAATTATAGGTATTTATGAGGTTGATGCCCCCCCCCCTATACTTATAGCTACTAATTATAGGTATTTATGAGGTTGATGCCCCCCCCCCTATACTTATAGCTACTAATTATAGGTATTTATGAGGTTGATGCCCCCCCCCCCCTATACTTATAGCTACTAATTATAGGTATTTATGAGGTTGATGCCCCCCCCCCCTATACTTATAGCTACTAATTATAGGTATTTATGAGGTTGATGCCCCCCCCCCCCCCTATACTTATAGCTACTAATTATAGGTATTTATGAGGTTGATGCCCCCCCCCCTATACTTATAGCTACTAATTATAGGTATTTATGAGGTTGATGCCCCCCCCCCCCCTATACTTATAGCTACTAATTATAGGTATTTATGAGGTTGATGCCCCCCCTATACTTATAGCTACTAATTATAGGTATTTATGAGGTTGATGCCCCCCCCCCCCTATACTTATAGCTACTAATTATAGGTATTTATGAGGTTGATGCCCCCCCCCCCCCCTATACTTATAGCTACTAATTATAGGTATTTATGAGGTTGATGCCCCCCCCCCCCCCCTATACTTATAGCTACTAATTAATAATTATAGGTATTTATGAGGTTGATGCCCCCCCCCCCCCCCCTATACTTATAGCTACTAATTATAGGTATTTATGAGGTTGATGCCCCCCCCCCCCCCTATAGCTACTGTTTTCCTTAGGTACTGATTGGGTGTCAGTTACTTGATGGTGACGAGTAGCTATGGTGACGAGTAGCTATGGTAACCTAAATTGCTCCAATACTGAGGCTGCTCTTATCGGTGTTTGGACTTGACCGATGTTAACACTTAATGAATTGGTATTGACGAAGATTAGTTAGATCAACTACCACACCAAGAATGTACTTTTACAGGGTGATTGATATCCTCGACACAGACACCCTCTACCACCTCCAACCTCAACCTCCTCCACCCTCAACCTCCTCCAACCACCCTCCACCCCTCCCCTCCCTCCCTCCACCTCCTCCCCTCCAACTCCAACAATGTGAGAAAGCGAAACGAAAAGAAGAACAGGCTGTTACTGAGAAATATAATATAATGTGCACAGATGTCCAGGTAGCAGTATTTGAGCAGGTAGCAGCTTATTAAACTATTAACTATCAGAAGGTAGTTGCGAGTCTTGGTATGATAGTAAGCAATGACTAATATATATAATATATATGACAATAGCGACTCTAGAGTGTAGACCCAACGTACAGGACATGCGGACAAGCACACTTGTTTAACGCACTTCAATTTACTATTGTTTTTAGCCCACGCTTAAAATCTTAAAATCTCATTTACACGACAGTAAAAGTAATTCATGTTAACTTTAAACAGAAAGGCTTCTAACACTGGGTCAGATCGCCGAGATCTCACCGTCTAGTAGACTTATCAGACGGTAAACTGCTTGTCTTGTATATAATATTACGTCACTCACATAATATTATTAAATCAAATTTGCAAAACCACTCAGGTGTGATGTGATGCCCAGATAGTATTCGTATATATACAGTATAATATAGTATATAGTACAGTTTCCCAGATATTTAGAGCCTTATTACTTAATGAATTACACAGTTGTAGAATCTAATGAGTTGCCTAATTGGTTACTAGCAAAGTGACAACTTTTTACCAGAAACAGAGTCTCACTACAAATAAATATGGGCTCTAAATAATTGACCCCTCCCTACATCTTGTACAAAATACTGGATGATCTTGACACTAAAACTAAAATACAATAAAAAGAAGAGGCAACCTGTTATCATAGCAACTCGTAAACATAGCAACATGTCACCATGACAACACGTCACCATGGCAACACGTCACCATGGCTACCCGTCACCATAACAACCCGTTGCCATAGCAACACGTTACCATACCAACACGTTACCATAGCTACACGTTACCATAGAAACACGTTACCATAGCAACACGTTACCATGGTAGAGATTTCAGCAAACAGGTCGCAACACTGCCACTCAACACTGTACAGCTAATAAAAAGTTATACACTTTATATTAAGTTATACACCAGCCAGTCTACAGACCTATGTAGTATGTAGTTCTATAGGTATTGAACTTTCTGCAGGTATTAAATTTACGACCGGAGCTGAATTCCTAGCGTGCCGGGGATATGTTACCATAGTTACAAGGAAATAACCATGGTAACAAGGGATATGTTTTTACTTGCAGCGACACGACTCATTGATGCACTCGTTGAAGCACTCAACTGAAGCACTCACTGAAGCACTCACTGAAGCACTCACTGAAGCAGTCAACTGAAGCACTCATTGATGCACTCGTTGAAGCAGTCAACTGAAGCACTCATTGATGCACTCGTTGAAGCACTTAACTGAAGCACTCAACTGAAGCACTCATTGATGCATTCGTTGAAGCACTCAACTGAAGCAATCAACTAAAGCACTCAACTGAAGCACTCAACTGAAGCACTCATTGATGCACTCGTTCAAGCACTTAACTGAAGCACTCACCGAAGCACTCACTGAAGCACTCAACTGAAGCACTCATCCAAGCACTCACTGAAGCACTCACTGAAGCACTCAACTGAAGCACTCACTGAAGCAGTCAACTGAAGCACTCAACTGAAGCACTCATTGAAGCACTCACTGAAGCACTCAACTGAAGCACTCAACTGAAGCACTCAACTGAAGCAGTCAACTGAAGCACTTAACTGAAGCACTCAACTGAAGCACTCATTGATGCACTCGTTGAAGCACTCAACTGAAGCACTCATTGATGCACTCGTTGAAGCACTCAACTGAAGCACTCATTGATGCACTCGTTGAAGCACTCAACTTAAGCACTCACTGAAGCACTCACTGAAGCACTCACTGACGGGTCTGTACTTTATGGACCCTTTCTAGATACTAGTAATATCTTATTCCATTAACTTAATTATAGAGGATAATTTATTAACTTAATAAGTTATAGTATAAATTATATCACACTACTAATGTAGTTTACAGTTTAGTTCACTAATTTCTGGTTCCATCTCCGGTAAGTAACGTCAAAATGTTTAACAAAATGAGAAACAGTGTAAAGTTATAGACTGATGCGAAACAATATAGTGTAAAATTATAAACTGATGCGAAAGAATACAGCGAATGAATATAAATGTAATGCAAGAAAAGTTTAATTTTGCCAACAAAGAAGAATTTATCATACTAGTAACCACATATTATAAAGTACTTAAGTACAAAGAAACTTTAAAAACAAACACTCAGAAGCAGGGAGCCAACAAAAAGCGGTGGAATTGTTTTGAGAGGGACTTAAACATTACCTTATAAAGTAATGTTACCATGGTAACACTACCATATAAGGTAATGTTCTTGACTTGAGTCCCCTCTCTGATAACGTGACCGATAGTCCCTTCTGTTGTGTGAAGTAACAAAAAGTATCGCTAGCAGACATGTGGCGATAACAAGCAGTCAATATCCACAACTCTTCCTTCTCAAACAATCCTCATCTTTATATTAGAAAATATTCATACTGATCAGGAATTTAACCGCACAATGCTATCTATTCTTATTGGTTAAAATATAGAGTTGGTTTGCGGTTATTATGTTTTCATTTGAGGTCAGGTGAATACTGTCGACAGTGTCTCGGAGTAAATGTTTACTCGCGCGGCATTACGAAAACCTATAGAATAACGTGTACTCCTTCATAAATATTCCCTTATAAAAAGGGAGAAATTTCCATAAAACTGTAGGCCAAACCACGAAAGTATTTGAAGTCTCTCTAATTATTCCTCAGTTATAACAAAAGTGTTGTAGAGTGAAGTTGTAATGTAGTTACCGTGATTATTCAAGAAATATTTTCACAGGACGGTGTCGCGGTGTGCTTAGTGTGCTACTCACCTCACAACAACAGGTCAGAGACAGACGGGACTGTTACCATGGTTACTTATGTTGGGATTATTCAAATTAGCAGTAATTTATTCAGACACAAAACCATTTAATATTCAGAAAGGGACCCGGTTGTTTGCGTATACCGAGGGAATATCTGTTACCATGGTAACGCCCTGTATTATAACAGAACGATATTTGTACTATTTTCGTCTGGCATAATCCGGAGTGAACTTTGAATATTTTATATAAGTTGTATCTTACTTAACATGTTCAGATAACTACTATATAGGTATCAAATCTCAACAAGCCTTCTAAAATATGTGGGGAAAAGGACAAGGTCAGCTTCTTTGATTTCATATTATATGAAATTCCTATTTCCCTAAATCCCACTTCTCGAAGTTTTTAATTTTCCAATTTTTCGCTCTCGCTATAATGCAGTACATATCGTTACCATAGTAACCATATCGTCAATCTTTCACAAGCTGATAAGCATGAAATGTAGATAATATCTATATTATATAGAATGTTAGATCCTCTAACAAAACACATTTCACTTCTAAATATACAGGATAAAGAAGTAATTACAATAAAAATCGCAGTTTATAGGGATCCTATACAATTATAAAGTAACCACGGTTGCCGCGTTGCTATGGTAACTAACCTGTACCATGGACTGAAGTATGATCATGTTATTATAGTTAATTATAAAGTAACCACGGTTGCCGCGTTGCTATGGTAACTAACCTGTACCATGGACTGAAGTATGATCATGTTTTTATGCTCCCTCTCGCACAGTAGTCGGATATAAAGAGCAGGTATGTTAAAGGAGGTAGCTAGCTCAAACATCTCCTCACTAACACGCAGGCTACGTGATAGTTGTTGTCTGAAAAAGCGTTTAGCAACAGGGAGTAACCATAGTAACAAGGGAGTAACCATAGTAACAAGGAGTATTTATCAAAGTAACAAGGGAATAACCATAGTAACAAGGGAATCACCATGCTAACAAGGGGCTACCTAATGTTTGCGCAATTAAAGGGGTAAAAGTGACAAAATTTCAAAATATAGTATATGTATGGAATGCAAAAGGAGAGTTGCCATGGAAACAATAAGTAAAAATATATCTATTCGGTTAAACTTACCTTAAATTGAAGTGATACCTCTGTCTATTGATATTTCCCAACACATCCCTGAAAGATACTATTAAACGAAGGGCCGATGATTTGCCAACTTTAATCATAGTATATATGTAGTATAGTAGTATAGTAGTAGTATATAGTATAGTAGGGTATAGTAGTATAGTACTTATACTATATAATAAGAAAACACTATGTTTTTTGTTGTGAGCGTTGAAATATACAAGTCAGTAGTGATGTCGCCCAAAGGTAATTATATAATTAGTCTAACGATTGAAAGTAGTCATGAAAACGATGTTTCAATTTTCACAACTACAATTAATTACATTTATTGAGGTGATAATCCCTGGTGGATGGCCGTAAAAAGGGATTATCACCTCAATAAATGTAATTAATTGTAGCTGTGAAAATTGAAACATCGCTTTCATGACTACTTTCAATAATACTATGTTTACAGTACAATCTTCACTTTTCTAAATCTGAAATACGCTGTATATAGTAATAATTGTAGTAACCATGGCAACCATAATAACCATAGTAACCATAGTAACAACTCACTTGAAGTGTGTGTTCTTGTAATCGTCCTCGTTGTAACTCATCTGAGGAGTTAATTTTGACAGCATGTTCCTCAACATAGCTCTACAACAGAAGCAACATACACAGTGCGGTACAGTGCGGCGAGGGTGCGGATTTTCATTGATTAAGCTGCTTTAAGGTTATCACATTAGATTAGGCAGGCAGTGGTCCATCCCTAATTTTTAGTGAAACTTGTTTTCGAGATAACAACTTAACAACAAACTAGACCCCGTGACTTTTGAGAGGGTCCCAGACCCCACCGGTGCTCACGGTGCAGCCATGCCCATATTTGGTCCTTTTTGGCTTTTTCGGCCCAATTATTTCAAATCACCTTGACATGACCGAAACCCAAAATGTACCAACTAGTACCAAAATGTACCAACTAGTACCAAAATGTACCAATTCTAATGAATTATAAAATTGTGCAGAAGGTTTTGAACTGTGCGCAAGAGTGGAAAAACAACTGATACCTTGAATATGTGCGGAAAACAGCCAATAGTGCGAATACGCAGCCAATACTACTATGTACAATACAGTATATACGACAGTGTATATTACAGTGTATTTACAGTATATACTACAGTGTATTTACAGTATATACTACAGTGTATTTACAGTATATACTACAATGTATACTACAGTGTATAATACAGTGTATAATACAGTGTATGCTACAGTGTATACTACAATGTATACTACAATGTACAATACAGTGTATACTATAGTGTATACTACTATGTACAATACAGTGTATGCTACTATGTACAATACAGTGTATATTACTATGTACAATACAGTGTATATTACTTTGTACAATACAGTGTATATTACTATGTACAATACAGTGTATACTACAATGTACACTACTATGTATACTACAGTGTATACTACTATGTATACTACAGTGTATACTAAAAGTTGAAAATAGGGGACTCCTAGTGTTCACTATACGAAATAGCTGAGACTAGAGACGATTCAGTGTATAAAACAAGCTAGCTGTAAAAGTAACACTCGCTGACAAGATGAAGTGTACTATTAAGTACAGTGAACATAGTAACCATAGCAACACATACCATACATACTATTACAACATACCATACATACATACGTACCACTACTAAAAATATAAAGTACATACCACTACTAACACTGCAAAGTACATACCACTACTAAAAGTACAAAGTACATATCACTACTAAAAGTACAAAGTACATACCACTACTAAAACTACAAAGTACATACCACTACTAAAACTACAAAGTACATACCACTACTAAAACTACAAAGTACATACCACTACTAAAACTACAAAGTACATACCACTACTAAAACTACAAAGTACATACCACTACTAACACTACAAAGTACATACCACTACTAACACTACAAAGTACATACCACTACTAACACTACAAAGTACATACCACTACTAAACCTACAAAGTGCATACCACTACTAACACTACAAAGTACATACCACTACTAACACTGCAAAGTACATACCACTACTAACACTACAAAGTACATACCACTACTAAAACTACAAAGTACATACCACTACTAAACCTACAAAGTACATACCACTACTAACACTACAAAGTACATACCACTACTAAAACTACAAAGTACATACCACTACTAAACCTACAAAGTACATACCACTACTAACACTACAAAGTACATACCACTAATAAAACTACAAAGTACATACCACTACTAACACTACAAAGTACATACCACTACTAACACTACAAAGTACATACCACTACTAACACTACAAAGTACATACCACTACTAAAACTACAAAGTACATACCACTACTAAAACTACAAAGTACATACCACTACTAACACTACAAAGTACATACCACTACTAAAACTACAAAGTACATACCACTACTAAAACTACAAAGTACATACCACTACTAAACCTACAAAGTGCATACCACTACTAACACTACAAAGTACATACCACTACTAAAAGTACAAAGTACATACCACTTCTAAAACTACAAAGTACATACCACTACTAAAACTACAAAGTACATACCACTACTAACACTGCAAAGTACATACCACTACTAAAACTACAAAGTACATACCACTACTAACACTACAAAGTACATACCACTACTAAAAGTACAAAGTACATACCACTACTAAAACTACAAAGTACATACCACTACTAACACTACAAAGTACATACCACTACTAAAACTACAAAGTACATACCACTACTAAAATTACAAATTACATACCACTACTAACACTACACTATTAATCACTAGCTGATGCCGGTATTATTATATATAGATAGATTTACCAACCTCTTATCTTCAACTGTCAAGTTACTTTGAGCTGTTATTTACCATCATAACTACACAGTTACTCCATATACATTATACATTACTGAGGTAACGCATTGCCAGGTATTGTACAACCAGGTAACGTATTGCCAAGTAACGTATTGCCAGGTAACGTATTGCCAGGTAACGTATTGCCAGGTAACGTATTGCCAGGTAACGTATTGCCAGGTAAAGTATTGCCAGGTAACGTATTGCCAGGTAACTTGTTCCCAGGTAACGTATTGCCAGGTAACGTATTGCCAGGTAACGTATTGCCAGGTAACGTATTACCAGGTAACCTATTGCCAGGTAACGTATTGCCAGGTAAAGTATTGCCAGGTAACGTATTGCCAGGTAACGTATTGCCAGGTAACGTATTACCAGGTAACGTATTGCCAGGTAACGTATTGCCAGGTAACGTATTGCCAGGTAACGTATTGCCAGGTAACGTATTGCCAGGTAACGTATTGCCAGGTAACTTATTGCCAGGTAACGTATTGCCAGGTAACGTATTGCCAGGTAACGTATTGCCAGGTAGCGTATTGCCAGGTAACGTATTGCCAGGTAACGTATTGCCAGGTAACGTATTGCCAGGTAACGTATTGCCAGGTATCTTACCATGGTAATTCTGTATATGGCAACGCTATAATCTGACTGCTCTTTCTTACAACACAGTTCATGACTTTACACACTACAAAAAATTGCCGCCTAATTCTGGAAAAAACCCTTTTTTTGGAAATCGGTCACCAGATTTTTTGTTCAATTTGGATGAAACTCAATATACATATTAAGTTGTATATATAATAGTTTCATAGTGTGACAAATTTTACCTCATCGTGCCATTTAATAGGGCCACTAATATTTACCAATATTCTCAAACTTTAATGAACGTGTCCATATACAAAAGTCGAAAGTCAGTGTACATACGTTGGGTCTTATACCACCGCCGTGTTTTATATTTGAGACTTGTAACTTTGCAGATGGTATACTGTAACTACTCATTCGAGCATTCCGTCGCCAGAATTTGAAAATTCGATTTTTAGGGGTCACACCCAATCAACATTGAATTACTTATACTCGTGTTTGTGAACATGTTAGAAACTCCATTGTAACATATTGCTATAGGTCACGAAATCAGTAAAATGGATGTAAAATGACGAAGTTATCTCGTTAGCACAATTGATTGGGTCATGTGATAGCTTGCAACAAGCTTGTAGCAAGCTAAGCTTCCTACGACATCGTACTTGGGCTCTCTGATCACACTTAATGGATATACGTGTTATGCTTCATATCTCTGTCATCTGAGAAGCCAGAACTTTCATTTTTTTCAGGACAAATATATATTTAATGACCGAACACGATTCAATACAATCCGATTATTAAATATATCAAATAATTGCAAAAATTAATCTTCATTCGAAAAAAATGAATATGAATATTCGTTGATTCGATATATTCCTCGAATGACTCCCAATGACTGACTATATCAGGGCGAATCCCCTTAATTTCGCCATCCATATTGCAGTCAAGCAGGGACAAAAGGATTTCGCGATTATTTTGGCCAAAAATCGCGGTACCGCGAAATTTAACAGGCTATACATTAAACTATACATAAAATTTGTCGCGGAGAATGGGAAATTTCGCGATTTCGTACATGCCGCGAAATCCTTTTGTCCCTGCAGTCAAGGGATGATGGAAAAGTACGCCTCATAGTGAGTAATTTCAACATGCAGTTCATGGATTCTTAATAGATTGAGAAAAGTTGTTTTTTATGTGAAAGTGAAGATTAGAATTATAAAAGTGAGATTTAAAAAAAAGAAAGTGAAAAGTGCTGACCTGAGCTAACTCGTCTGAACAGATGTCTGCAATAGAACAATATTCCGCTATATCCGCTACAAATGGGTACTTACTCTCCTGTCAAGGTTCAGTTCAGAGTTACGTAGTTACAACTGCTAGATACACTACTACTAAGCTAGATGCGCTACTACTA